AGCGCAGGGCAGGCCTGGCGGGAAGAGCCGCTGTGCTCTTCGCCTTTCGCACGGGTGGTTAAAGGTGGCCGGTGGGAAGCGCTGCTGTGGGTCCAGATCCTCTGCGGTTACCTCGAGTCAAGCAGCAGGAAACACACCGGTTCCTCGCTAGCAGAAATAGTGCTTCACAGCTACCCTTGTGACTAGGTTGAAGCGTGATAGAACAGTTAGTGACAGACACGAGGCCGTGTCTACGTGTACATCTGAACTTTCTCCAAAACCAGAATTGGATATGTTGAGTGCTACACAAACTAAACATTGTTTGTTGTCTCTGCCACGTGCTGCATCTTGGGCAAAGTGGATTTCTGGAGAACTTGGTTGTCATAACATACACTACTACATATACCTCAGTGTTTGTGGGTAACTGGGTAGTTTTCTGATGCTATAGTAACTTGAAAAAGATGTGCAGGTGTACTCCCAAGAGAAGGGGGAGCATGAGCCTTCCTTTATCTTGTCACCACTGTAATGCAGTGTGAGCTGAGCAAGATAATTTGCTGTGAGGAGCAGAGTCCAGGCAGACTGGCTTTCTGGTGCTGAGCACAGCCTGAAGAGATTTGTCTAGGCTGTATTCTTTCTGGATCCTGGTAGCTTGGACTCCACTGACAGGTTTTTGTTGTTCTACCTTAATTTTGGCTCTAACTCTAAGCCATATGTAGCTTCAGCTGCAGGTTGCCATCTGTGGAAGAAACTACTGTTTAACTTCCATGGAGTGCCAAGCTACTACAGAGTAAACTGAACAGCTCTCTACCACTTTGTGGGTTGGTAGCCTAGAAGTGAATCAGTAAGCCTGTTTCTTTGTAGGAACAAAAAAGCACAGGATAATTTTGACCTGATAAGTGAAGTCTTGTAATTACTTAATCATTGGCAGGTGGAAAAAGGATTAGCTCTGTGTTTGAACCTGGAGTCCTGTGTGACTTCAGTGTTAAGCGTATTGCTAACTATATTATGCGTATCTGCGTGTGTAGTAGCTGTGTTTAAAATCTGCCACATATTGCTAATGTTACTGCTCATTGGGGCACAACAGAATCTTGAAACTGCTTCTCTGTAAGTAGCTGAAAATGGGAGGGGGGGGGTAATGTTTCAAGAACATGTGACTACTTAAACCTGAAGGTGGCAGCAATTATAATCTGTTATCAGATAATGCCTAAATACATCTTTAGGTGTGTCATGTGGGAAGAAAGAGGCTGTTATTTAGATTAGTTCTAAATTAAGTCCAGCTGCATGGTATTATCCAATTTGGGTAGATTGTGGAAACTCTTGTAAAATTCAGTTGTAGTTTGTTAGACAGGCATGATCTGAAAATCAAAATCTTGATACTGCTTTCAAACAAGATGCTGATTAGCAAAAATATTGTCCTGAGAAGACTATTAGGATGAGGTCTAAAAATCCTTAGAAGTAAATTAGGAAGCAGCATAATGAGTAGGAGGAGAAGTGTATTTTCTGGTTCTGTGAAAAGGCTTTCTTGCAATCGATGTTAATGACAATGTTTTTTCTATTCCAGTACCTTTAAAAATGTTTGCAAAGTATTCTTGAACATCACTACTTGTTAAATGCTATATTCTCACTTTAATAGATTTTCAAGTAGAATTTTAGGTAAATACAAGTCTGTTTCAAGTGGTTGTTAAGCTTTGCCCTGATAGGCTTGCTTTTTGGAGTAAGCTTATGTACTGAGTTCAGTCTGTAGGATGCTGTGACCTGTCTGTGAGCCACTGTGAGATGAAGAAGGAAAATAAGGATGGGATACAGTGAAAATGAAATGTGATATCAACCCCCTATCTCCTGCTGAGAACACTATGCAACCTCCTTCAATAACTATTCTGTGATTGACTCTACTAGGCGTTTTGATGGTAAAGTGGCTTGAGGATTTGATCCAAAGCAAGAGTCTTTATTTCATGGAAGAATGTTAGACTGATAAGTCTGTGTGATGGTGTTTACTGTCAGGAAGCTCTTAATTACCTCAGGCTGGTGTATGGTGCATTACATAGTGTCAAAACACCAGTGGTGGTTAAAATAATTTATTTTGCTAGTTAGAACAGCTTGCCTGCTGAACTGTGTTCCAGCCTTCCTTACTCTTGCTCTGTTCCCTAAAGGAGGGAACTAGCATCATTCTCCGGTTTTAATCATAAATAGATGTTCTAGTAATGGTCTGATTAAGTTTCTTGCAATGATGAGACTTAGTGCTGATCTGCAAGGACTTGTTTTTCCTATTGAGATACACAGAGATTAAATTCCTATGCAGTTGTCTGGTCTAAGAATAATCTGAACTAAGGCGATGGGGTACAGGGCTGCTAGTTTCAGTTCTCTTGTATTTTGGCAGGTGGCCTGTGCTGGGTCTGACCCTTCGTACTTGATTTCTTTACAGACTTGCTGTTAATCTTGGAGTCGGTCAGCCTTATGTGGTCTGTTGTGAAGAGTGGTGGTCTCTAACTCTCTAGTCAAGAAATGGTATTGCCTTCTGTGACCCACGTCTCAGCAGTATGGTGCTCAGGCCCACTGCACACTTAGTACACAGGCTGGGGGATTATATCATTGTCTTGCCTCAGTAACTAAAGAATCAAAATAATTGGCTTAAGTAAAATGTTGATGCTTGTATTTCAACTCCTTAGGTTTTCTCCCCCCCCTCCAAAGAAGTACCTGTGCTTGTTACTGATTTGTTATTAATTTGAACTGATTTTAATGATTCTTGGTGATTTGGATTTAAATAAGGAATGGTTTAGAGTAACCGTACAACCAGTTATACTGCTACTAGGTCCTTTGTAAAGTCCCAGGCTAAGGCCACGTAGGCTGGTAACAATCATTAACCTGATTTCTAATCAAAGAATAAGACTCATGATGAGGTACTGTTGTTAGACTACTTGGTAAGGATGATTTATTGCCCTGTAGACCAGGTGTTCTTAAAGTTACATTGTGAAAGGGCTTTGAAGCATGTTAAAATCGCAGTGTGAGCCAAAGTCCTTGAGTCAAGGGCATTGGAGGGTCTTTCTTTTAGGTCAGTAGCCTGTGGTGGACACAAAAGCAGCCCCCTGTCTCATTTTAGGACTCAAGTGCACATGACCGGAAAGGGGTGGGAATAAGAAAATGAGTTATGGGAACTATCGTGTTTATGTATGAGAACTTGTTTATTAGGTATTACTGTATCCTTTATCATCAGCATGCTACACGATTTAGGTGTGTGTTGTGGTGAGATGACTCCCCTACACACCCAGCTGTTAATAAAGGAGTATCTGTTTATCTACCTCACATTGGTGTCAATAAGTTACTTTATTGCATTTTGGTGACATGCTGACACGTCTGCAAGCCTGATGGGGTGGCCAGAAATGCAGTTCAGTAATATTTGGAGGAAGCATCCTTGTTTGGGAAGCTGGGTTGGGAACTTTGTACTTTTTGTTAATGTTTTTCCTCTAAATGTTCCTTGTAATTGTGGTTCACTGACCAGCACCCTCTGCACTCCTGTTCCAGGACTAGCTTGTGAATAGCTCAGGGTTCCCCACCTGATAATTTAATGCAGTTTTAATAGTGGTAAGCCAAAGAATGAAAATTCTTTGGTGGATTTCTAAACCTGCAAAAATTGAGAATTGGGAATCTAGTCTCTATCTTGCTGTGAAGAGGAGAATGCAGCTTGTTCCTAATACTTGGCTAATGATGATTGAGATTATCTCAAAAATCAATGAAAGTGACTGGATAAAAGTGGAAAGCTTGCCTCTTTAAGGATGAGCCACTCATGTTAAAATGTACTTTCTCTGGAGGAAAAAAGATGGCTGTGGAGAGTCAAACCAGTGTGTTCTTTCCCCTTAAGTCTGACACAAGTAAGAATGTGTCCACATCAAACTATGATGCAGATACGCTGTTAAAGTGCAAAGGGTGAACCTTCTTACTACCATTTTAGAGTTTACAGGTGGGACTTGTAATGAAAAGCTGCCTGAGGAACTGATACAAATGGACCTGCACAGTATGCCCTGTTGCTGGCAGGTGCTGTAGATCTCTGGGGGAGGCCTGTCTGAGAAAGTTGGGAGTGGTGGTAGGAGAGCCAGAATTCTTAAGCCTAAAAAGGGCTTGAGGCTGTGGAGCAAAGGCAAAACCACAATCATGAGATCCTGTGCTGGCACTTAACGCTGCTTTGGAGGAAATGTCTGTCTGAAAGGGGGATGCTGAGAGAAATGACATCTTCCTGGAATGCTGCTGACCCTTCCTCTCCAGTTCCATTGTCAGACTGATGTTCTGGGATCATAAAACCTAGTTTTTCCCCAGTTTGTTAGGAAGTCTTGAGCAGACTGATGCAAATTTGCCACACTATAATCTGATAATTCAAAAGTGTCATTCTGACATACTTCAGTTTCACAGAAATCATACAAGCTGAAGGTGAATCTAAAAAAGAGTAGGAATAAATTGTTTCCTCCTTTGCTCCCTCGTGGTGAGCAGGGTGCACTGGAACATGTCTCAGAGCTGTTTTTCAAAAAAGTGCTCAGCGTTTATCCCTTAGGGGAGGGAATAAGGTTTCAGAGAAAGGACGTTTTGTTTTTACTTTGAGGTGAATGATGAGGGCTCAAGTCCACATTGTGACCTTTGCCTGGAAGTGGGGTAAATGAGGAGAAATAGTGCAGGTAAAACAGTGGCTGAAGTGGTAACTAGCTTTTTATTTGGACTGAAACTAGTTAAATTCCACTGTTAGATTGCTGTTTGCTTGCAAAGTGCTTTAAGATATGCTTAGCTTTGGCTGTTCTTGCTAATATGCAGTGCTATTGGGAACAATTCCTTCATCTTATTTTTCTTCAGGGCTCTGCAATTTACTAGTGTGATAAGTACACATACAAACTTTAGCAGAAATGTGTGTGCTACTCTGAGTTAAACATATTTTGAGTAATAAGCCACTGCTTGTTCTGTTTTTCTCATAATTTTGAGCATTTCAGCAAGTGGTATTCGAGTACTGGTTTATTAAGCATTGGTTGTTACTGTTATAGAGTCTGTAAGCCAAGATGAAATTGATGCCATCATGTGAAACTTGAGGAGTGAAACCTCACAGTATTGCTATGCAAGTAAAATTCATTGAGTTTATGCTTCTGGAACATGATGTGCTAATGGATCTGGTGTTGAAGATTTTGGAGAATGTAGCTGGATTTTTGTGGAGAGGACACTGATGTACTTGATATTAGCATCCCAGTGTAATATCCTAACTTGCTGTCCTGGAGAGATTTCAGATTACAGAACTAGGCTAATAATTTTTACCAGTTTAGTAGCTGTTTTACTGTCTTTGCTCTGCCAAAGTATTATCAAAATGCCTTAGTGACATCACAGAATCTTATACTGTTTAATATTGAATATGAAGTGTTTGTATACATAATCCCTAATTCTGTTATGAAAGGCATTTTCTCTGCAGTCAGTCTTTAATAGTGGTATAGCAGGACATTCAGAAGATGATGTGGCTAAAAATTTAGTAAATAGTTGTGTAACTCAAATGTGGATTTGATAAAACTGCCAAGTAACAATGCAAATACAATTATATTTTCTACTTAATGACTGTCTGTCTAAATTTCAAAATGCTTCTTAAAACAAACTGGAACCTGATAGGTCTGTAAAAGGTACCTCACTCGACAATCTGTAAAATGGTGAAAACACCATCAGTGACAAACTCTCATAGTTAAATCCTACTCATTCTTTTCAGTACCAAAGGTCGTAAGACTTTATTTCCAGTGTTTTGGATAAAACAGTGAAGTGTTTAGATTCAGTGGTATGTTTTCTACTTTAGCTGACCCTTATACCATTAGTTATATCCTTAGAATTATCACTCTGCTCTTAATGTGGAAAGGATTTGGCCATTTTTAGTTCACCATTATGATTTTTTTTAAAAAACAGTAACATAATGCTTATTAGATTCTCTGATCAGTTAGCTTCTGTTCTTCCAGCAATTTGGGCTATTTTTGTGTTTACAAGCATGAAGCCACACACTTAAGTGATTCCATTTAAACCTTTTATATAACATTAGTACTTGTGTATTCCTTTACAGCTTGGCATGATAGAATTTAATAAACTTCATAGTGAATATGGCTTATGACAATTTTTAATGCTGTTAAGCATTAAACAGTTCTGGTAATGAATATAAGGCTTTGTACATTTCCTGCTCGCTTAGTGTTAGCAAATCTGAAGTTGTCCAAGGTGCAACTAGAAGAATAAATCTGTATCCTGCCTGGTGCTGCCTCCCTCCCAGTTAAATTAGGTTGAAGTTGGATGTTGTGTTCTGCCAATAAACTCCCAGTGGAGTGTTCTAATGCATTCTTAGAATTACAGCAATGCATTAGTCAGTGTTTTCAGATGCATTTAACTTGGGCTGGAAAGAAATTGACTTAATCTCAGAAATGCTGGAGCCAAAATTTGGGGAAGCTTTAATGTATTCTCTTGACTCTGTAGACTTTGGTATAAAGTCCTTTGTTTTTCTGTATTACTTAAATTGTAGATGGCTTGTACATTCACACTTCTGTCTCTCTGAGGAATGCTGTGGATAGGTGAAGGACGTCCAAGTGAATATAGTACCGTAACTGTTTCAGTTAATAAGTATTCTACCCTTTCTTTTTCATACTTGTATCTTAATTAGATATGATAGTTATCCACTAATGTAGCACTGAACAGATGTAGGGTTAAGGGAGAGAGAAAAGGGAAGGAAATTCAGAATTGTGATTCTCAGAACAGGACTAATTTGGCTGCTGGTGGTGATTCCTGCTGTGTAGGAACATGCCTTGCAGTGAGCAGTCAGTTCACTGTTCGCAATCTGCTTCTGCTCAAGGTGGGTGACAAATACCCATATGAACTAGAAGTCTTAGCTTCCTTATTAGAGTACAGCATGTTAATGGCATCTTGGTTGCATTACAGTAGCTAAAATGCCAAACCCAATGTTTGATTTCTTTTCACTTCTTGCTAGAGCTCTCAAGTGTGATTCAACCCTGTCAGTAGTTCTGTAGTAAAAGAATATATGTGGCTGACACAAAGTGTTTTAAAGCTAGTTATTTGTGGTGTGTAATTCATGAACCAGGAATTCAAGATTATAATTTCAAGCTCTTCCTGTGATGATCTGTCAACTGGCATGAATCTTAAAGTACCCTGGTTGCTTGTGTGGCTTTTTTTTTCAGGTGCAGGCAATGATTTAAGAGCTACATCAGTCATACAGACAGCAAGCTTCATATATTCAGGTTTTCTGTGGGAGCTCCCTTCCTTCAGTAAATCTCCTGTTTTGCTGGGGAATGAAATGTTGTTTTTAATTCCTTTCTAGACAAAACTTATGAGTTGTTTGGTTTTGATGGTGAGATACAGGTTTCTAGATGAGGAGGATTCGTAGAATGTTCTTCTCTTCCCCTTTCTATTATGGGAAGAACTCTGCACTTAGATTTGTTAAGCTGAAAAAGTGGTGATATAGCAATTTGAAACACTTGTGCACTGCAGTTTTGTCTCTTCAGTCTCATGCTTGGTTGTCTTCTTGCATCCATGTGCTCTTTTCCCTGAATCAGTACACGGTATGCTAATACCTTAATCATCACTGCCTTGGGGAGGGTCATAGCAGTGTCTGCTTGACCAGATGCTGAACATGAATTCACCAAATAGAAAGGCAGGTAAAGATCCCTCAGTGGGCCAACTACATTAATAAAAGCTTGATATGGAAAGTGCCTTGAGAGACCATATAATCTAGCACCCTAGCTTCACTGTGTCCATTATCACCTTTAGTAGAGGTTTGTCTAACAGGTTCTTAAAGATTTACAACATGAGAGACTTGATAGCTTTGCTAAGCAATCTAACATGTGTTTATCTTCTCTTTTGAAAGGTGTTCCTGATCTGTAATCTGAGTCTGTTTTCTGTCAAGGCCTATTTCTTTTACAGATGTGGTGAAAATGCCTTTATCAGAGAGCTTGATCCATCTGGGGAGAAAAAATGCTTACCTGGTCCATACAGTTTCTTCAGCATAAACAACAGCACTGCATTTCTTGTTTTGGGTCCTGCTTCTGGGGCTTTCTTGCCTTTTTCACTTCAGAGTTTCTTCCAGTCAGTTCACGTCCTCTGAAAAAAGGATGTAGGACTCCCAAATAAGTCTTGCTGTGGCAGACTGTTTTGCAGACTGCACATGTGTGTACATACAGCTCTGCTTGGTGCTTGACTTACTATATATAATAAATTGTCACTGATTCATGTTTGCACTGTAACCTGCAGTCATTTAAGATCTTATGTGGAGCTGTGGCCTAGCCAGCAGTTCAGCAGGCAGGGTTTTTTTGTAGCTAACTAGTTCTGCTTTTTAAGGTCTGTCTTAGCTGTGGTGTTCTATGGATCAGTGATGATATGTCTGTGTCCCTGCAGCAGACCTGCCACTGGGCTTGTGCTGCCTTTTTTCCTTCCCCCACCACGGGCTGAGGAAGCCCACAGTTTGAACTTGGATTGCAGCTGCCTGCCAGGAAATGTTTGTAGCAATCATCATCTGTGGAATTACTGGTGATCATCCTGTTTACCCAGACACTGTGATAGGACAGATATTGTGCAAAGCTTTTTCTAGGTTTGAAGTCTCATAATTACTAAACTTGGCTAGGCTTGTGAAGGTGTCAGGAGCAAACGTTTTCCTCCTCTTTGTTAGCCAACTTCAGATCTGTTCTTCAAAGAACACTGTTTTGGGCCTGCTGAATTAGTCTTTCATAGAAGCCCTTGGTTTTATTGTACGTTTTGAAAGCGGATGAACCGTTTTATCTGGAACTGCTGAAGGCAGTTATCTGCCACTGCCAAACTTCAGTGGTTTAGGCTGAGGTTGTCCAAATTGTAAGTAACTGCTGATAACTGTATAGTGGAAATTGTGGCTTTAGCTGATCATGTTTGTGTTTAGTGCTCTAAGGGAGCTCTCCTTGTGCCTAATTATAAGGAGGAACCAGACTGTAGATCAGTTAACAGACTATAAATCAGTTAACAGCATAGCTGAAACTCAAAGACTATCTAAAAATCAGTGTATGTTGTGTGTATGTTTTTCCATTCTATTAAACTGCCATACAGTGGTTTCATGTCTCTTCCATGATCAAGTACCAGTACAGCATTTGGCAGTCAGATATTAAAGTGCAACAGAACAAGCATAAGCAGCTCACACTGAGCAAATAATGTGCTAGGTATAATTCTACGTTTAAGATAACGGGGGGGTACTGATTGTGTAAGGGTGACTTGCTCAAATTAAAGTTCTGCTGGTGTTCTCACCCTTTCCCAGAACATATAGCTGAGATACCATGAGGAAGTCATGCATGTTGATTCCCAAGGGAATCTGGATGAGGGGAAAAGACATAGAACAGACTAGTTAGTTAAGCACTTGTAAGCCTGTTAATCTCGATTCTTCTGAATAATTTGGAAGTTATTCCAGAAGGGACCTATTAGAGTTTTTCCTGCACTTGTGTCTAGGATGGGTCATAGTTTTTTTATAGAGAATTAGAATTGAGGAAGCAAGCAGTCAAGGGTCTAGTGCCTCTAGAGATCATCTTTCCCCTGTGACACACCTAGTGATAGCTTTTTTCCAGTACCTACAGGTAGGGTTTTCTGTCTACAGTCACTTTTTTTGCTCACTGTTTTGCCAAATATTATCTATCAGCCTGACCTCAGGTCATTGAGACTTTTTCTGTGGGAGTAGAGATGACCATAAATGATGCATTTCACAGTGACTTTTTAATTATGACATGGATATTCATATCTCCTTGGTGTACCTCTTTACTATAACTTTCCTTGGAAAATTGAGGATTGCCTTACACAAGGATTCCTGTTACACTGTCTGGGTGTCTCATTGATGTGTATCAGTCAGTAATCCTTACGCAGATGAGTCTTGAGACTGACATGAACATCCTGCAAAAGCATCAATGTCCTGTGATGCAGTAGTATCTGTTGTAAAGAATCTGTTAGTTCATGTCTCTTGGCTTGTTTTAGATCTTAGCAGTGCAAGTTAACTTATATCAAAGTGTTAATAATGTAGATATTCTTTCTTCTTCTTCTAAGTTTTGTCCAAACCTATCATGTGGTGTTAGACTCAACACCCCTAAGATCTAAGGAGACATGAGAATTATTATGTAATTGGAAATATATATTAATGGAAAATAATACTTCTGAATAACTTCTAGTAACTACAGTTACCTTCTTATTAGTTAAGCATGCCATTGACTGCTTACATCAAGACCTGAAACTGCTTTTTCCTTTTAGACAAGGGGAATCAAACTGCCTCCTAGGTATTTCCAGATACTGTGTTTTAACAGATACCATGTATGATACATTTAGCATTCTCCTTATGTATTTCAGAAAACCTCCTTGGAATATCTGAAGTCCATATGGCTATGTATGATGAAGATATCTTGAAAAATCCCTTTTATTTGGCCATTCAGAAGCGGCGTCCTGATCTATGCAGCAAAGTTGCAGAGCTCCATGGCATTGTAAGTATAAGTAGATTTAAAAGCTGCTTATTAAATAGTAGGTATGCGAATTTAAATCGTGTGCCTGCTATGACCCATGTAAAGCTTAGTGCAAGCCTA